ATAAACGCGAGTGAGACTAGCGACGAACTTTGTAACTAGAGTCAGGAAAATTGCGGTTATAAAGGAGAATGGTGTGAAGATTAAGGCCGTACTCATGGAAGTAGTGCGACAAGTATTAGGGGGTTTGTAGCGCAAGGCTTGAATGAAGTCTTCAGGGAGGGTATTGGGGATGGTTGACGTCAAGGGGGAGGTTGTGGTGCCGGGTGAGGTACCTTCGGGCGAGTTCAAAACGTACTCGTCAACACGAGTGATCTTGGCATTGTCATAAAGAACAGAGATGGGGAAGTGCTTGCCGTTAGGTTAGGTTGGATTATACCGGTGATCCCTAGTGAATCCACTAAGGCCTATTGGCCCATTGTGATGCCGTATATAAATAATAAAAACCTCAGGGTTTAAAACCACCTAGAACCTTTTGCGAAGCATAAAATGCTATTTAAAGCCCGATCCTGAAACTGGTCCAGGTCCTCAAGGAAGGGGGCTCCTAGAGTACTAAATCGCCGACGTGCATGAGCTGGACAAAAACACAAAAGATGAGATACGCTCTCATCGTCCTCCCCACAGCTACGACAGATTTGGTTGAAAGGAAGACCTAGTCTTTTAGCATGGTTCCCTAGTTTACAGTGTCCTGTAGTCAACCCTACCAGAAGACCAATGTCCTTGCGGGACATCTCTATTAGAGTTTTCGATTTCCTTTTATCGGAAAGTGGCCAGATTGCATACAGATGTCTTCATATCGTTGAGTCTTCCCATCTTTTGTTAAAAGTATTAGTGCAGAAAGAATTCGATATGCCCAGATAGTCTAGGTGCTCCGAGTATGGTTCTGAAGCACCCTTTCTGGCTAACTCGTCTGCTTTGCAATTTCCGAAAATATCCCTTTGGCCGGGAACCCAGATAAGAGAAATATTAAGCTGCGTAGACATTTCGTTTAGAGATGTGTAGCAGTCAAGAACCGTCCTATATGTAAATTGGACCGAACTCAAGGACTTTAATGCAGCTTGACTTTGTGCAGCTTGATAGTATGTATATATTCCTGCCAAATATATCATCTACATTCAAACAAGCTTTAGCTTTCCTGGTGGCGACCACTTCCGCCTGAAAGACACTACAATGATCTGGAAGCCTAAAGAAGGAAGATTTGTTCAATTCCTCTGAGAAAACTCCACTACCTACAACACTACTTGTTTTGGATCCGTCAGTGAAGATGGTTACGCCCTCATCTAAGAAGGGACCACCTAACGTCCATACCTCTCTAGATGGAAATACGACATCAAATTTTCTGTCGAAGTTGAGAGTGGGTGTGATGTAATCAACGTTTTTAGAATAAAATTGAAGAGATTTAGAATGGAGGCATGACCATAGTCACTGGCTCTCCATTGTGAAGTAGCTTTTAGTCTTAAAGCAGATGAAGCTGCCATTTGTTTACTAATAATATCCATTGGCAGTAACTGAAGCATCAAATCTAGTGCAATGGATGGTGTGGTGCATAGCGCCCCGCTAATACAGAGTTCAGCTCTACGCTGAATCCTGTTAAGTACTGAGCAGTACGAAGATTTATCAAGAGCTGTCCACCATACCGTAATACCATACATTAATATGGGCCTAATAACAGCTATATATAGCCATTGGGTGATGCGAGGTTGAAGACCCCACTTCTTACCAATAGCTTTCTGACATAGAAGAAGCGCAACATTGGCTTTTCTTGCACGCTCTAGAGTGTTTTTCTTCCAAGTGAGTTTCCTGTCGAAAACTATACCTAAAAATTTGGCTTCCTCCTTCACATGTATCATAGAACCTCGTAGAGAGGGTGGAGAAAGATTCGGGACCGTATGTTTTCTTGTGAAAACTACGATTTCAGTTTTATTGGGACTCAACCCAAGGCCACATTTTTGTGTCCAATTGTTAAGGATATTAAGACCATTTTGTAGAATATCCCTAAGAATGGTAGTATATTTTCCGGTGACTGTTATCGCAATATCATCCGCGCATGCAATAGTTTCGCAACCATCTGCCTTCAGTTTTAATAGCAGTTCATTCACCACTATGTTCCAAAGGAGAGGGGAGAGTACTCCTCCTTGGGGGGTACCTCTTTTCACCCTTCTGCGTGCCGTTGATGAGCCCATCGTTGCTTCAATGAGTCTGCCAGTTATCAACTGATTTATAAAGCCAATGAGCGCATCATCTCACCCAGACGCGAGATCGCGCTTACTATTGCACTCGGGAATATATTGTTGAAGGCCCCTTCAATATCTACAAAAGCAACCATACAAAATTCTTTGAGTTTTATGGATTTTTCTATTCTATAAGTGAGGGAGTGGAGAGTCTAGAGGTTTCAGAATTGCTATTTATTTCTTGACAGTACGATTGCCAACTATCTCTCTTGGACCTACGTAAATTTTTCTTATATTCTTGCAGAGAGGTTTTGTAATTTAGCCAATCACTCTCATTATTATATAATTTTGCTCTATTGAAGAGTCTCCTACACTCCTTTCGTAAAAGACCTAAATGCTTATCCCACTAAGGTGGGTTACATTTTCTACTAGGTTGTGTGAGGGGACAGGCATAATTGAAAGCTTCATTGAG